TCGTACATCGCGCGGTCGGCGTCGACAGGCCGGGCCAGAGGCGAAGCATCAACGGTCGATGGTGGATCAGGGGCGGACCAGGCTTCAACCCCCGACGTGTCGAGGCTCCGCACCTCCGGGGACAGGGCGAGTCCTGCGAAGCAGGCCGACAGCGTAGGCAGGGCGGGCACCGCCGAACCCGCCTCCACCACGCCAACAGCCGCGCCAGCCAGCAAGGATGGGTTGGCCGGGCCACCATTGGTTGAACCGAGCTTGACGAAGGCACCCTCCACCCTTTCAGCAAGGTCGGCCAGCCACCGACGCATGGCAGAGAATTCCGAGTGCAATGGAGCGAGCGCGGTGTCGATAGCCGCCGACAGCTCAGACCGAAGTAGGCAGGCATGGTCCACCAGCGGGAGGTGAGGCCCCGCAGGAGCGCCGCCGTCGGACAGAAGGTGCAGCCTGCCGCATGCCACCGGTCGACCTCCATCGCCATGACAGGAGACACAGCGCCCACGGGGGAGCCCGCACGGCGACGTCCATGACGCGCCGAATCCACGTCGCGACGTCGAGGTGAGCGGGTGCGCTCCCTGCGCCCGTCCAAGGCCGAGGCGTTGGAGCGGGGCACCCGGCCGCGTCCGTCCCGGCCGCCGCCGCCATGCCAGTCATCGTTGTCGTCCCGGCACCGCGGCGTCTGCCGGGGGTGGTCATCCCCGGTCTCGGCAACGCGGAGCAGCAGCCCGTGAGCTGCCTCCCATGTCAGGGAGGGCAAGGGTGGCTCCAAGAGGCGGCGGAACACCGTCAACGCACTCCATGTGCCACTCCAGCGGCAGCCTGGGAGGGCTGAACGCCTCAGCGCGATCGTCAGAGGTGTAGCAGTCCAGGGGAGCATTGGAGTGGTCCTCCACCATGTCCAAGTGAACCAACACCCTGAAGGTTGCGCCACGCTTGCAACCGGACGACCTCGCCACATTGGCGAACACCTGCAGGCCGCCGGATGGACGGGTGGTGAATGTTAGCTAGATGACCTTGGGGATGAGGTTTGGGTCTGCAGTCCAAGCCCAGAGGTCGAGCGTCACGGAGTTTGTCCGGAGCACGGAGTGGTCTTCGAGGCGATCCAGGGAGTAGCGCCGGCCGATGATGCGCTCGGCGACAAACGGCGTCCACGCGTAGTCAGGGACGTTCTCCAAGCACAGGTGCACTCGGTAGTTGAGGGCGGCCCCGAACGCGCGCTCTAGAGGACGCCACGGCCTGATGTGGACAATGGCGTCGGCAGCACGCATGTGACCCGCGGCAAGCGCCACGTCGCACTGGGCCTTGTGCTCGAACTTGATGAGGAACTTCACCGGGTGGTACGGGATGACAGCCACGTCCCCGTGGCTGAGCCGGAATTGCTTCCGGATGGCGCGGTCGACGTCCAGCGCGACGAGCCGCCGCGGCGCGTTGATGGCCCAGGCGATGGCCGCCGTCTGTTCCCACTCAAGCATGTCACGGTCCATGTCGAATGAGGACGGGATGAAGCACGAGTCCTCCTCGGGGCGAGCGTCCGACGCCCCAATGCCGGCGGAAGTGCGAGCCATCCCAGCGCGGGGAGGGGGAGCGGACGGGGAGGCGACAACCTCAGCCCAGGAACGCGCGCCCGAATCGGCGGGCGAGCGGCACGGCGGAGGGGCCGCAGGCGGGGAGGCCGGACGCTGCTTGGACGCACGTCGCAGGGGGCAGCTGCGCTCGATGTGGCCCGAGAGGTTGCAGGAGAGGTAGCGCACAGGGTCGCGACAGGCAGAGGAGCGGTGGTGTTTGGGGGCGAGACAGCGAGAGCAGCGCCCCTCCGTGCGCTTTTTGAAGCGGATGAAACTGGCTCGGCGTTGCTCGTCGAGGCCGCTCGGCGCGGGATGGGACGGGACGGTAGACGCCCGGCTTGAAGGCGCGTCCCGTCGAGGGCGGCGCTGCCGCAGCACGAAAGTCCAGCCCTCCTCCTCCCGAGGAGCGGACGAGACAGGCCGTGGCGCGAGGACGCATCCTGACGCCGCATTGACGAGCCGGGATGGGCGAGGGAGGATGGTGATGATGGAGCGAAGGCGGGTGGCCGCATTGAAGGCGTCCGGCGCGGCCGCGGAGACTTGAATGCGCGCAGAGGAGGGTGAAGCCCAACAAAGCCCGGGGGGACGGAGCGGCCGAGCCGGGAACGAACTCACCCCCCTCATCAATGCCAACAGGCAAGGGGGCCGAGTCCAGGACAAAATTGCCAGATTCGCCCGACGAGCACGGCGCGCGCGCAGGGGAGACGGACGCCGACGTGCACCCCAGGGCGAGCGCAGCAGCAGGAGGGGAGCAGGGGACAGGAGGAGGCGCCGCACCCAGAAGCAGCAGCCTCTGCGCCTCAGAGAAGAACCAGGGGGGCCCAGGGCCAGACGCACCGGCCGGAAGGGGGGAGGGGGCAGCAGACCGCCGGCAGGGCGGGGCGGCCGGGTGCCGCGCGCGGGGACGAGAGCCCGGGGAGCTCCAACGGATACATTTAACGCGTGCGTCGAGGATTTTTGCCTTTCCAGAATTCCAGTGGGTAATTTGCCTGAAAAAGTTGCAACTTGGGTTGTATCACCAGATAACCGAGAAAAACGTCCACCACACTGACCATTCACTCACTATTTCACTTGTCATAGCAAGCAAATACTAGCGGAGTAAACAAAAGGTAAACCATCTGACTTGGACAACGGGCTGGCGAGTTATTCCACAATTGCTACAAGCCTACAACAACTTAGAGTGAGATAACAATCCCGGACAGAACACACCATCATGATCATCATCAATCTAAAAGCTTGTTCTAAACGAGCCTTCATGATAAAACGAGCCTTCTACGAGCAGACGGGCTTTCTTTCTTTCTTATAGTATACATACATGGCGTTATTTTTGCCTAACACTAACAGCTTAGGATTGTTCTGCTACATCAGCGCCCACCTCCTCTGCTCCCGCGTTCTTGTGGCTCTTGGTGCCAGATGGTTCCGAGCTGGCCCCAGCCACTGCGGCGTCCTGCTTGCTCCCTCCAGGTGCTGCTGCTGGCTGGAGGTCGCCGGCTGCTTGCATAGGCTGCTGCATGCCGTTGACGGTGCCTGGTCTCATGACCACCTGGGCGGGGAAAGAAAGGGCCTGGGCTTGCTGCTGCTGAAGCTGCTGGTGCTGCTGCTCTTGCATCTGCTGTGGGGTTAAAGGCGTTCTTGGAGGGAACATTGGTACTTGTGACATGTAATGCCCTGCACCTTGCATACTACCAGGCTGCACCATCTGTTTGCAAAATAAATAACTGAGCACCACAGACCATCTTTTCGCAAAATGGATAACTGAGTACACAGATAAACCTGAGGGTGACTTGTAGGGTTCTGTGGTGGTTGGGCATCCGCGATAGCAGCTAGATACAAGAGATTCTTTTGGAGTTGAGCTTGATACCTGAAAGTCCAGAGCATAAACACTGTTATTCTAAACGCATCATCAATATCACACATCCATTTATAGGGAAGCATTTGCGTAAGGTAGGCACATCATATGATGACCACAATGGCTGCTTCTCTGTACCAGAAACTACATTATAAGCTTGTGGTATAGCCCTATCAACTGACAACCAAAACTAGAAAGGCATATGGGGTCCTTAACCCAATAACAACAACAACAACAACAACAACAACAAAGCCTTTAGTCCCAAACAAGTTGGGGTAGGCTAGAGCTGAAACCCATAACATATCAAAACCAACTCATGGTTCTAGCACGTGGATAGCTAACTTCCACGCGCCCCTATCCATGACCAGTTCTTTGGTGATATTCCAGTCCTTCGGATCTCTCTTTACAGACTCCTCCCATGTCAAGTTTGGTCTACTCGACCTCTCTTGACATTATCAACACGCTTTAACCATCCGCTATGCATTGGAGCTTCCGGAGGCTTGCGCTGTATATGCTCAAACCATCTCACACGATGTTGGACAAGCTTCTCTTCAATCGGTGCTAACCCAACTCTATCACGCATATCATCACTCCGGATCCGATACTTTCTTGTGTGGCCACACATCCATCTCAACATGTACATTTCCACGACACCCAACTGTTGAACATGTCACCTTTTAGTCGGCCAACACTCAACGCCATACAACATTGCAGGTTGAATCGCCGTCCTATAGAACCTGCCTTCTAGCTTTTGCGGCACTCTCCTGTCACAGAACGCCAAAAGCTTGGCGCCACTTCATCCTTTCGGCTTTGATTCTTCATCAGTATCACCATCCTTTTTCAGCATTGACCCCAAATATCGAAAGGTTTCCTTCTAAGGTCAATGCTAACCAAATTTGGCACGCGATATCAATAGTGAAAGGTGCTCATCAAGGCTAACCTACTCCTCATGCTTAGTAGTACTGAAACTGCACCTCGTGTACTCAGTTTTATTGTCCGCAAAAAAAAAGTGTACTCAGTTTTATTTCTACTAAGCCTAAAACATTTTGATTCCAAAGTTTGTCTCCATAGCTACTTTCTATTAATCCCCGTCCGACTATCATCGACTAGCACTACATCATCCGCAGAGGGCATACACCATGGGATATCTCCTTGTATATGCCTTGTGATCTCATCCATCACCAAGGCAAAAAGATAAGGGCTCAAAGCTGACCCTAGGTGCAGTCCTAATTTAATCGGAAAGTCATGAGTGTCGCCATCACTTGTTCGAACACTTGTCACACCATTATCATACATACCCTTGATGAGCGTAATGTACTTTGTTGGGACTTTGTGTTTCTCCAAGGCTCACCACATGACATTCCACAGTATCTTATCATAGGCCTTCTCGGAACACCAAATGTAGGTCCTTTTGATCCATGTATAACAATGACGCTGTTAAAAGACACTGACATGGTCCTCGAATCTGAGTCAGATGTAAGATAGATCGTCTATTTCATTTGTAATCAGCTGCTGTCTTTATAGTGTCAACCATTTTTCGACCAAAACATGCCTCGAATACAAAAGACAGGGGTTTGTATTTGGAATGCCATACACATAACTTCACGAAAAAACTGGCAGCTATGCAGTTTCACGCTACATCACATAAAACGAGAGATAAGGGTCAATCAATGCATTAGCAGTTTCATCGTTGTGGATATGGGTAATGGGGATGCGGGAAAATGACATTTTTCGAAAACAGTATACAGGGAATGGCAGGTATAGGGCATTCTGCAATACAGCATGTAATAGGTATAAAATATGAGCCCACAGAGGTATATAGGAATTAAGAGTACCTGAGAGGTCCCTGATCGCAAAATATGAAACCAACAATAAACATTTCATATGGTAATTGCAAGCACTAAACCAAATTAGCAAGCCACTTACTGAGCACATTCAGCCAACTTTCCTAGGTTCTGATTTTCAAGGATGGCCAAAATAAGTTGCTTATTTTCATCCAAATACTGAAAAAGAAAATAAGTGTTAGTAAGAAGTTAATATATATTTAATGAGTATATGATCATACTATACCGCCAGGATTCCATACAGTCATAACTCATCGATTTTACATTCACTGCTGCAATGTTGTGTAAGAACCATACACAAGAAACTTCATTCGCGAAGAAGCGCCGTCCCATATATTCTTCTTTTTTTATCGTGCCAGCATAGTTGATATTTCTTGAACCAGTCTTTCGGATAGAAATGTCTTCAGATGGATACTGATTACTGAATGGATGATTTCTGAAGTTGACTCTCTTGGAGTTAAACTTATTTATATGTAACTATCACGAGTCCATGATTTGGAAACACAGAGATGATGTTGCATAGAGGAAATAGGTATACAGTTATCAATAGGTATACACTCATCCACAAGGCTCGTTCGAAACACAGGGGCGATATTTCTCTAACCAGGAACGAAAAAGGTGAGGCCTATGGTCGAATCAATAGGTTGAAGGAAGCATCTGCGTAACCCTAGCAGGAAGGAGGCACGGATCGAACCTTTTGGATCTGCTCGGTGGTGATGCCGGCCGGCGAGGACACCGCGCCGACCGCTCCCGGGGGCAAGGACATCGCCTGCTGCATCGTCAGCTCTCTCGCTCGCTCGCTCCCTCCTCCTCCTTGTCGGTTGTTGGATTCGGTGGGATGTAGCTTTCTCTCTAGCTTTACTCTTTCTCGAGGTGGTTAAGCCCGGGGGAAGGGAGGGGAGGGGGGCTTTGGGTTTCAGAACTCAGCGACGACGAGACAACCAAAAGGAAATGAAAGCAGGATGGCGATTTACGAATCTGCCCTTGTGCCATACAACGATGCTCCCCGGTACACCTGGCCGTGGGCAGCCCGGATCCAAAAAAGGCTGACGCAGCCCGGACGGCCTTGCCAATGGGCCGGGCCTAGGCCTAGATTTTGAGCCCGATGGTCAAGCCGGGCTGAGCGTGAGCCTGTCGTATTTGTAGATTAAGGAAGAGGCCCGATCCGAGACTCGACGGGCTTTTTACGTGATGAGTCAGGCTTGGGCCTGATTTTTAGGCCTGACGGCCGGACTGGGCCGGGCTCGGGCCTAGGTTTGTTGCGTTAGGCTTAGGTAGGCCCGGCCTGATGGGTGGCCAGGTGATAGAGGCTAGGGTGTCCTGATCTTTCGATGAGATAATAACTATCGATTTGGTGAAGACGACTTTCACGATCCGACTACAAACATGCACGAGTTGCGCCTTAGCAAACGCTAAACCAATCTCCTGGGGTTACTGACGATGCCGGAAGCACGGTCAGCCTGACCACGAAGGTCTATTCCTGCAAGCAATCAAAGAACGAGCAAGAATATGATAAAGCAATCTGACTATTGCAAATATATATGAAGTATTGATAATGGTGGGGATCCGTAAGCGGTCTTGGTCTGGTCATTAGACACAAACGAAGTACACGAAGTTGCAATGGCTAACTTTTAACTAAACAAATTCTAAGGAAAAAGCTACTAGATGGATCTACTTATATAGGAGCAAGGGGTGGCGGCCAAGGAGGTGGGAGGACGTCCCAAGGCAGCCTAAAACTAACCCTAGGTCGTACAAGGCTCATGGGCCCAAGTGGAGGTGGTGCAACACCTTTGGACTTGTTGTTTGACTCGAATTCTGTTGCAGCGTCAGATTGTTTCGTCGATATCTCAATGCTCCAGACGAATTTAAAGGTGATTCCAATGAGGTTGGAAAGAGCACGAAATATACTTTCCAACAAAAAAAGAATCACCCAATTTGGAGTCCGTATGAAAAAGTTGTTGACGTTTTGAGTCAGGTATGTCTGTGCAGTCCGAATCTGAATCCAGAACGTGAGAGACTTAGACTCTATCTTCTCTTGGCCCAAAAGTGACGTGAGAGAACTTTTTGAACATAACCTAAACTTCTCCTTTTCCCTTATCTTCATATGTGAATTGTACAAATGTCCCATACACCTACAATTAGACAAAACATAAAAGTGTGTGAAGTATTTTTGTTCTGGATAACATAAATAGATTATTGAATAGTTTGCACTAGAAATCACCTGACAAATATGCATATATGAAATATTTTTGGTCGTATCCAAGGTAGTCATGTCCTCATCACCAGGTATATCCTAGGGGATTTGTTTTCAACTAGTGGACCCGTTGCCTCAAATGACATAGAGGCACGCTAAACCTATGTTCCCGGTGAAAAAAATATTCATGGTTTAAAGGTTCAGAGTTTTGTATATACACATTTACTTTGATAGTACGAAGCTCATCTTTCCCTAATAATAAAGCACGGATTGACTCCATCGGGTTCACCGTCGCGGTGGTTTTGTAAAATAGTCCCTGTTGTTTTAGTTAGTTAACCCGCAGTCCGTTTCTAAGTGGATGCCTACGATACTGTTTCGATTTTACAAAATACCCCCTTCATTTCTTAGAATTAAACTCGCAATCCTTTTATTGTTTTTATCCAGCCACGGCAAAGGAGGAGAAGGAGGATGGAGGCCGCATCGATCGCCGACACGCGTGCTCGGGTGAGGGGCGGCGCCCTTGTCGGCAACAGAGACGGCTACAGCCGCGGCAGAAGACGAGAAGGCAGACGCCATGGGCGCGTGATTGCTGCGCTCATGGGCTTTGATGGAGGATGGAAGGGAGGACAACTTCGGGAGGGTACACCGCCCGCCAGTGTCAGTCCTCCGACCGAACTACGATGCCGTCGCGCTCCTCGACTTCTGCCTCCACCCCATCTAGCGCGTGTCGTCCGTCCATGTGGGTGCCGGTGGCTACCGCGCCCCGAAGGTGGTGGAACACGCGGTGGGCCGATGGCCTACGCTGAAGGCGGATGTCTACTCCCTAGGCATGCTCTTGTTGGAGCTCCTCACCGGTAAGTCGCCAACGGATGCTTCTGTAACACCCACAATGCAGCTATATCTCCCACGTGTCGGGGCACGACTTAGAGGCATAGCCGCATGGTAGGCATTGTCGCAAGAGGGGTAATCTTTACACATCTCATGTACTGAATAAGAAAGGGATAAAGAGTCGGCTTACAATCGCCACTTCACACAATACATACATATATCATACATCATCCAAGGTACAAACAAAGGTCCTACTACGGAACCAAAATAATGAAAGACCACCCCTAATGCTAGATCCCCGATCGTCCCAACTGGGCTCCACTACTGATCAACAGGAAACGAAAACAACACAACGAACAAGATCTTCATCGAGCTCCTACTTGAGCTCGGTTGCGCCACCTACACTGGTACCATCGACACCTGCAACTGTTTGGAAGTATCTGTGAGTCACGAGGACTCAGCAATCTCACACCCGCGAGATCAAGACTATTTAAGCTTATGGGTAGGATAGGGTAATGAGGTGGAGCTGCAGCAAGCACTAAGCATATATGGTGGCTAACATACACAAATGAGAGCAAGAAGAGAAGCAACGCGACAGTCGTGAACTAGAAGTGATCAAGAAGTGATCCTGAAACTACTTACATTCAAGCATAACACAAGAACCGTGTTCACTTCCTGGACACCGCCGGAAAGAGACCATCACCATGCGGTGATGCATTTTAATTAAGTTAAGTGTCAAGTTTTCTACAACCGGACATTAAAAAATTCCCATCTGCTCATAACCACGGGCACGACTTTCAAAAGTTCAAAACCCTGCAAGGGTTTCCCAACTTAGCCCATCACAAGCTCTCACGGTCAACGAAGGATATTCCTTCTCCCAGGAAGACCCGATCAGACTCAGAATCCCGGTTACAAGACATTTCGACAATGGTAAAAAAAACCAGCAAGACCGCCCGATGCGCCGACATCCCGATAGGAGCTGCACATATCTCGTTCTCAGGGCAACACCGGATGGGATATCCTACGAGTAAAACCAAACCTCAAGTTTCCCCGAGGTGGCCCCGTAGTCTACTCGGTTCGGACCAACACTTAGACAAGCACTGGCCTGGGGGGCTTAAAATAAAGATGACCCTCGGGTTGGCCAACCCGAGGGAAGGGTAGGTGGTGGTGAGGCAAATGGTAAAACCAAGGTTGGGCCTTGCTGGAGGAGTTTTATTCAAAGCGAACTGTCAAGGGGTCCCCATAACACCCAACTGTGTAAGGAACGCAAAATCAAGGAACATAACACCGGTATGAGGGAAACTAGGGCGGCAAGAGTGAAACAAAACACCAGGCATAAGGCCGAGCCTTCCACCCTTTACCAAGTATATAGATGCATTAATAAAACAATAGATATTGTGATATCCCAACATATCCATGATTCCAAACATGGAACAAACTTCACCTTCACCTGCAACTAGCAATGCTATAAGAGGGGCTGAGCAAAAGCGGTAACATAGCCAAACAACGGTTTGCTAGGAAAGGTGGGTTAGAGGCTTGACATGGCAATATGGGAGGCATGATATAACAAGTGGTAGGTATCGCGATATAGCAATAGATCGAGCAACTAGCAGGCAAAGATAGAAGTGATTTCGAGGGTATGGTCATCTTGCCTGAGATCCCGCAAGGAAGAAGAACGAGTCCGCGAAGAAGACAAACGGACGAAGTCGAACGAATCCTCACAACTCCGGAACAAAACCGAAACTAACGGGAGAAGCAACCCAGAAAGAAGCAAGCAACATAGTAAACCACCAAGCATAACATGGCATGATGCACAACCAAGTATGATGCATGTCTGGTTTAAATATGCATGACATGGAAAAGTGCACAAACAATACTACAAATTAAGTGGAGCTCAATATGCAACGAGCTGCATATTGACAGAACACCACATGACTTATTTAGTTCTCTCCCGTTTAAACTAGTCAACAATATTAAATGTTATAAGACATGGCAAGGGGTGAAGCAAATGAAAACTATCCATCTAGGCAAGTTTAAATGAGGCCGGAACAACGAGCAACAATTCCGGAAAATCCCCATGTGCAATATTTGAATTTGGTACTGATCTGCTCTAAACCATATTTTAGAGTTGTTAAACATGCAAAGTAAAGCCACCATGTTTAACTAGGCATTTTTCTACCCCATTTACATATAAAGTTTGTTAAGTTTGGAGCTACGGTTAAATAGTTATGAATTAAATCATTTTGACATGGCATATGAGCAAAATTTAATCAAACATCATTTTAAACACGGATGAAAGTTGTATATTATTAACCTACACAAAATTCTGAGCATTTTACACATATAACTTATTTCAAACCGATGCACGGGTATTCAGTTATTAAATGCATGAACAGCAAGGGGTAATATGTAAATATGCAGTTTTTGGGATAAATGGCAAAATTCGCAGTGCACGAAAAAAATATGCATGGGCCGAAATCTGGCTGGCCTAGCAGCGCATAGGAGAGGGGTTGGGCGCATCCTTACCCATGGGCTTCGGCCCGGTCAGTGGACAAGCTGGCAGGCCGCGTCTGGGTGAGGAGGCGTGATGGGCCGACGGGGAGAGCAACGCGGGCCCACCGGATCTGACTGACGTGGTCAACGAAGAAACTGGGTGCTTGTCGTCTCGTTCGTGAAGCAGGGATCGAGCAGTTGGCTGCTTTCGCTCCAGGAAGAAGAAACGAGGCGGTGCTGGGACTTGAACGGGCGACACAGAT